TTAAAAATTTCAAATGTGCTTAATTAGTTAAACAAAATATAAATTACGCCCTCATATGTTATACAATATTTTTTAAAATGAATATAACTGTAATGCCAAGCTTTTGAAAGTTTTATAGTAGAAACTATATAGTCTTGTTTGCAATTTTTCGTTTTTAAACTGAAGGCATTTTTATCCTTTACAAGTTTACACCGTTTTCGAATCATATGTCTTGTAAGTCAATGAACGTTCTCATAAAAATGCATAGTATTTTAATCATTCATATATACATATATATGTATGTACATTATGTAAAATTATCGTATATATGCATTTACGGAAAACTATGTAATTTGGTTTCAAAAATATCATTTAATGTATAATAAAGTTGCTTGCCCACTTGTTCTATTATGTAGCATCAGCATAATTATCATTACTACTATAACAGTATCTCGACAGTATTTTATCTTATTTCAATAATACATAGTAATAATTTATAATAACACTTAGAAAGTAATAATAACAGTAATAATCATTGATCTAATCGTATCGTCGTAACGTAATACATCATTTCTGATCAAATAAAATGTTTAAAGTATAGAGAGAGAGAGAGAGAAGTGAACAAAATTCAATACAACTATAGACGCATGCGTTGTTCTTCGCTCGGTCATTTCTCTCTTATTATTACCGACCGTATTGTGTAAACAATAGGTAGGTTATGTGATGGCAACAAATTTTGCATATCGAGTTTTCGGTGGGAATGCACTTCTCCATAGTAGGGAAGTGTAAGTAAACTATTTTTAGCAACCTGTCGGTCCGTCGGTCTGTCGGTCTGTGTGTGCACGCGTGTATCTCAAGTTCTGCTGAACCGATTTTGATGAAATTTTATATGTAAGTTTATTTCCACCATTGCACGGATTGATCAACTTTTGGGATATATCAGGCCTCGGGAACTGCACTTTTTAGCGGGCCTGTTTTACATTTTTGAACATTTTGAAGAAAGTATTCAACCGATTTACTTGAAATTTTATATATTAGCTTTGCTCCATCGTCCGCGAAAATTCCTATGTTTTGGAAGAAATCAGGCATCGGCAACTAGGCGTTTACTACGGGCCAAATATTCATTTTTGTGTATAAAAAGAGAAATAACCAACCGATTTCATTGAAATTTAATATATGAATTCCTCGTATCAAAACAATGAACATATCAATTTTTTGGAAAGATCAGGGCTCGAAAACTGATTTGCGGGCCGATTTTACTTTTTTAACCATATCTACGGAACGAATTGATGGGATTTCATGAAATTTGATATTTGAGTTCTGGGCATTACCAAAACTAACTGGTGGGCATTTCAGGGAATTCGGATAGCACAAAACGAAACTGTACTAAGAGCCAAATTTACATTTTTCTAGATATGTTAACTATAAGCTTACAAATGTCCTTAAACTTGGAAAGAAGTACTTAACAGACATTTTTTTAATATTCTGTAACACTTTCACTCAACTAGACAATACACAATGCGGTCGGTTATGTGCTGACCACATCAGATTTTTTTTTTTTTTTGCTGTTGATGTGATTTGCATTCTACGCGGTATTTAATGTACGTGATGAATGAATGTAAGTATTAACGGTTATTCGCGTTTTTTTTTCTTTATTAATTTTCTTTTAGTGTTAGAAAAACGTTAGATATATTTAATAATAAAAAAAAAAATAAAATTATAATAATCAGGAAAAAGTGAATAATTCGATTTGTTTTGAAACCAAGCTGTTATTTTTTTGCATTCTGTAATCTGTCTCTATACATATACATACATACGAGTATTATGTATGTAGCTATATTTTGTTTTTCTTACTTTATTAATCTTAATGATTTTAGTTTAGTTGTGTATTGTAGTGTTTATATTCCTTCTTTCTTTTTTCAATTAATAATATGGTTTTTACATCAATTACGGTGATTGATGTAATTTTCAATTTAATCTTTTTTAATTTGTTTTTGATTTTTTTTTTTGATATTTACTAGGCAACAGACATTTCTTCATGTGTTTTTATTTTCAAAGTTATTAGATAAGTGAATTTTTTCAGGCTTCACCTATTATCTTTGCTCTTATTAGCATTTTTTTCTTGTATATACTTATATATATATATGTATATACATATGTATATATGTATAGTGAAAAATGGAAGGTAAAATTAACTGTTTTTATAAATTATAATATTGTGAAGTTAAATCAAATGACCAAATGATCATAATATGAAATTGAAGAATTAAAAACGAGGAATATTAAATAAGAAATTATTTTCAAAATTTAAATAATAAAATCAAATCGAATTTATGAAAATGAGAACTAACAAAAGCCAGCGAGCATGACATAATTGACATTAATATTTTAATATTTACAACGTTATGGGTTAATTTTTACTCCAACTGAACAAAATGATAGCGTTCTACTTAAAAATATGTAAGAACACAACTCACCCCATTCTCTAAATTAACAATAGTAAAGTATACATATTATATTCAAATTTTAAATCTCCATACTCTGAAATGGCGAATCTGAATTCTAGAATGGAGTTTTTGAACATAAAATGTAGACACAAGCACGAAAAGTGTTTCGATACAGTTCTGTTGTTTTAATTTCAAAATACTGTTAAAAACATTTCGATTTTTTTTATGAAAATATTAGCAAAGTACTATTAGGTATTACAAATTATCAATACAACGTGTAGTTGTTTATAATTTGAAGAATGCCAGTTGGTAAAACGAGCTTAAGGAAAAAAAAATTCATTAAATTTTTTCTGTCTTGAATTGTTCCTTTGATCGGTTATTTTTATATTTAGTATTCTCATAAGTCATAGCATATTTTCATTTAGTACGTAGTAGACAAAGTTCGTATGTACTCTGAGTATTGGATGATTTAATAATAAACACATAATCATTAGTATTAAGTAAGAAATCATCATATTAACGAGCCAATAGTAAGCGAATTTGGGTTCCGTATAACAAATAAAATGTTGTTTCCGTAAAACAATTTCTGCAATATGTAAAGGGATATTTAAAAAATTTAATAATAATTTGATGATTTTTCAAAACTACCTCGTACTTTGCACTTATCGTATGAAAAACAAAGATATACTACATAATGTTATATATACTAAGTTAAGAGTATAGATTCATTAATGACTAAAAGATCTATAAAACAAAAACTATATATATATATATATATATATATATATATATATATATATATATGTATATACATACTTATAAATATAGGAAAACAAAATAAATACATAAATAAAACTGACAAACAGAAAATTTAATTTATGGTGAAACAGGCTGGAAAATTGATTTCGCATTTTTCTTCCACATTGGTTATGTTTGATATCAAAGTTAATGTATCAAATTAAGGGTATTATAGAGCTGGTTTTTCTTTTAAAACATACTCATATTCAAAAGAAAAAATTAGAATGAGTTTCCATGAGTTTTCGATTCATAAAAAATTACTAATGAATTTGAGTAAAATTTATAAATGGCTAAAATTCTAAAAATGCCTTAAATGGCGTTTTAATTTTAAAAAAATCAAAATAAAATTTAGAAAAATGTCAAAATTCTGATGTATACTAAAATTTAAAATTGAACAGTTCGATTGAAAATTGTAAGTTTAACAATATTTTCAACTCAAATGTTCAGATTACAAATGAATTCAAGGTTTCATTTGGGTATTAGAAATAATAATGCCTTAATGTTATACCGAAACAACTAGTTTCATGGCATTTAATGTTTTGGTTTTTTGTTTTATTTTGTTATTTTCTATATAACCAAAGTGGCCATGTTTTCGTTAATAGGTGTATAAATGTACATGTAATGTTTAAGGAAAATAATAGCAAAAAAACAAACAGTATAATAGTTATAATAGTATATAACAATATTTGTAACTTCTGGTTTGATTGGACATTTAGTGAAAGTGAAAATGATTTTCATTACTTTTCATTATAGAAAGATGTATAGAAAAAATTTTGTACTTAAATCTATTAAAATTTTCTTTTATCATATAAAAATTGTCTAAAATATATACAAAATCTCTATAAATGACTGACTAATAATGATAGTAAATTTAATTTTATTATAATTTATTAATAGCCATGCTTATGCTTAGTTTAAACCCTATTGTAAATTTTTATAATTAAGTTCATTCCATATTTGAAAGTCCAAACAGTTCACTAATGTTTTTGAAATTTAGAAGGAAGGTTATAAAGTGTACCTCCAAAAACTATGTACTTATTTTGATTGTGAATAAAGTATAACAGTTTTTTTGCATGTCAATGTGTACATGCAATGTTTCAAGCAAAATTTACAAATTTCACACTATTATATCTTTTATTTTCGAGAGTATCTTTTACTTTATCCTCAGTAATTAAAGTATCCAATTTAAAATTTGACCACCAACTTAGATATAATCAATTTTAATAAAATTAAAATTTATTTTCATTTATAAGACTTTAATCTTTTCGGATTATAAAAGATTACCGTATGAATCCCAAATGGCTTTAAAGAGTTAAAAAAATTTATATTTTTATTTAATTGAATAGTAATTAAAAGCCAAATTGCCATTTATTTAATTGCAATACAAAAAAAAAAAAATAATAAATTTGCAATTAAAAAAAATTATTGTTGAAAAATTGAAAACATTGAAATTAACTTTGTGAAATGTGAAAATCTTTTTGCAATTTTAAAGATTTTCATTTTCCTCTTTCAAAACCACGTTGGCGCTCTTAAACGATTTGATTTCCTTTTCATTCTGTCTCTTTCATTCTTTCCTCTTTTCTGTTTCAATTATTTTGAATTGAAGATCAAAGTTTCTATGTAATTACACTAACATTGTAATGGAAGAAAATTTTCATGTATAATTTTAAATTCATTTTGAAATTTCAATTATTTAGGATTAATTTAAGTTTTATGAAAATAAAAAAATTAAAAATTTTTAATTAATTTATATTTTTTTTCTGTTTTATTTTACAGGTATGTGGAAACTTCTTTTTTAATTTCTCTATAACTAAATTGGACAGTAAGTATAAGAGTGTTATTTTAATATTGTAATATAAAAAATATTTTTATACTAGGTATGTATGGTTGAAATAATTATAATATGAAAATCTAAGGGTTTTTAGAGCGTTAATTAAAATTAAATTGAATTAAGCGTAATTAATAGATTTTTAAATGGCCAAAAAAAACAGCATAAACAATTATGCAAATAGTAAATTACTTCTTAAATGTATAGTAACAGTCTTAAGCTACAAAATTTGAATCGATTGTCATTGTGAATCGATTAAATATTGTGTCAGGGTAAATTGCGATTTCTTTCAATAATTTAAAAGTATTTAACAAAGTCAGTATTTTTCTAATTAACTGCTACATTCCCCCTTCTAAACGTACACAATAACAATGCATAATAGTAAAAATTTCAGTTAAATATCAATTTTTATTATAAACAAAGGAAATGTGCTCTTTTACCAGCCATTAATTTGATCGAAGTTTATTAATTGAACAAAACAATTCCTTTTGTTTTAGAATAAAAATTTAGAATACTTAAATGATTTAAAATTTTTATTAAAAATATTTAAGGAAAAACAAAGTCTATGACCTAAATTTCCTTTAAATTGCTTATGTGCAGAAACGAAAACTGACATATCTAGGCTACAATAATATTGTATTCTTAACATTAAAATTTTAAATATTTGCAATAATTCTAAGAAATTTGTATATAAAAAATAACAACTATAAATTCTTCACTTAATATTCCAATCATTAAAAAAAGAAAAAAAGAATTCGAAATATACCAGTTTACGAGTACACAATAGAATTTCAAACTTGTTAAATATTTAATTATATAGAGTATTGTTATTTAACATACATAAATTTTATAAAATAATAATAATAGTGTGGCACTAAAATTAGTGTTGTCAATGAAAATAAAAGCAGAATTCATTAATAGTGCACATATATGCTGCTGCATAATTAACTGTGCACGAGGCAACGAAGTTTTTTTAATCGAATGGAATGAAATATATTTTTAAGAAATTTAAAAAACTTCCTGAAATTATTTTAAAATTGAAATTAAGTAGTTGATTTAAAAGAATGTGTGTTTGGCGGTTCTTCATAAAGAACATTTAAAGTGAAACTTTCATATAACGAACCATCTAAAACTGAATATTTTATACGTAATATAGAAATCGTTCCCTTAATTGAAAATTAAATTGCAAAATTGTTGATATCACCACAATTGTTGCAATTAAATAAAGATATTCGCTTGGGAGTTTCCCTATATAAAATTTTTACTGATTTTGAATTTTTTAAATTTTTGCATGAGCTAATTGTAATGAGAAAGATTAAATTAAAAAATTAAAAGAATTCAGTTTTCATATTTTAAAAAAAAGTAAAATTTTAGAGTCCAAATCAACTAGGAACTAGGTTCGGACCCCTTAATTATTGAAATTTTTATCATTTAGCTTTTTTAATCGAGAAAATAAAATTAAAAAATTTACATAAAGATTAAAAAATTAATTTACTGTTTAACCAATTACATAGAACAATTATACAGTAAATAAAAATTACAGGTTTTAAAATGAAAGAAAATAAATAAAATACTTCGTCCTAATTTTCTTAAATAGTAGTTTTGAAATTATTTTGCGAATTACAGGGTTAAAGTTTAAATTTAAACGATTCTTCTCTCAAATTATATCAATTTTATCTGAGTAGGTCAGAAGCACCTTTCAACTTTTCTCCTCCTATATTTTTTTTTTATCTTTTATGTTAAAGATTTAGGTAAATTCTAATATAAATATCCAAATAAATAACCAACAAAACAAAAAAAAAGACATAGTGTATAATTTTTAAGTATTTTGTCATGCCTTTATTTAAAATTATAATCTCTTATTTAATTCAACCTAAATTTTTTTTTCCTTAATTTTGTGTTACTATTTTAATAATTTGAACAAATAAATCAGAGATTTAAAGAAGATCTCTTAATTATTTAAAATAGAAAACAAAACAAAAAATATTTTACCCATTCATTTCTTAATTTTTTCATTTCTTAGTTTTTTTTGTGCTTCATCTTTTGTTGATCATCTTAATTTTCTTACTCATAGTTACAAAAAAAAAGAAAAAAATGTGATAAAAAATTTTCTCAGATTTGTTTTACAACTACTATAATTTATTAAAAAACTCACAAAAAAATAGAATTGTCTACTTAAATACTTGTACACCAGTTAAAATTATAGCAGGGGAAAATACGACATTTTTATTATTTAAGAGTTGAAAATTACAAAATATCAAGTCGAAAAACAATACAAAGTTTCCAAAGTTGTTAAAATCGAAAACAATCACTATAAAATAAATAATAGTCTTACATTCCGAATGATTTTTTTTTTTTTTTTCAAATTTTATTTTTGTGTTCAAAAGAAAAATTCTTTTAGTTAAATCAGTGGCCAGAAATTATATGAAAAGGATGAAGTTGTTCCAAATGAGAAATTAAATTACATTTCCGTTACCTGGAATTGAATTTTTCAAACAATTTCGAAAATGGAAAAAATTCCAAATTTTTCTCACGGAGATTATGAAAAATTAATAGCATATCTTGATGTCTGAATTAATAAGCATTTTTTAATATGTAAAATATTGGAAAATTTCTAACCATTTTTAGCAACACTGGTCCATTTTCATTTTAAAATCAAACAATTTATGTGATTTCATTAGTTCTATCTCGAATATCTCTTCAATTCTCCCGAGAACATAATTAAACTTCACGAAATTGCATACTTTAAATTAATGGTTACTTGCATTATTGTGCTAACGCAATGAGACTTTAATGCATGCCATTGCAATTCTTCTCAACTTTTAAAATAGTTCAGTAGAAAAGTAAAACAGAAGAGTGAATTATGAAATTCAATAATTAAAATTATCTTAGAATTTTAAGCAGAATTAAAAAAAATTTAAAAATATTACTTTACAAGATTCGGTGTGTCTATTCGTTTATTTAGAAAACATCAAAATCATTCGAAATAGAAAAATACAAGTTTGAAGAAGATTTCAATGAAAGTGAATTTTTTTAACTAAAAATTCATAATTGTATAAACATCTGAAACTATACAAGAATAATGGGATGAATTTAAATTTTAGTTAGCTTAAATGCTATCTGTTCGACACTACGTTATATATGCCGCATCGAATAAGAAATACAATTAAGTGTTATTATAAATTTTTTAAAATCATATCTGACATCTCCTAAATTTATACTAAATTACATTGTGGTTTGTTACAACTATTATTTGGAGAGTTTAAACTGTAAAGGTTCTCGATTTAAATTGTTAAGCGGAAATGTGTTGTTTTACAAAGCAACAGCAGAATTTCTGATTTTATATTTTGAATATTAAAATAAACATGGTTTACAAAACTGAAATGAAAACAATTATAACGACTGTAAAAAAACCAAAAATTATAACAAAATTTATTCATCGTTTCTAGTCAGTCCTACCTGATATTATTTATGACTCACACTCTCCACTCTCCAATCCAACTAATCTCCCTTCTATACTGTTATAATTTCTTTATTTTATTTTTCTTTCTTTTTCTAGCTTTCTTCTTCTTTCTTATCTTTAAAACTGTTATTTGTCCTAAAATATCGAGCGATCTATTTCAAATTAAGCTAAAAAAACAACAAAAATGAAAAATTATACTTAAAAATGAAATAAAATTTTTTTTTTGATTTAGGAAAAGATATCTATTGTAAATCTAAGATACAAATAAAAAAAAAAAAGAAATTTAGAAAAAAAAACTGAGAAAAACCACTAAGAATTGACAGCTAACTGCCAGCCAAATCAACCTGCTTTTTTTCTACTTTACAATTATTTTTTTCTTTTTATTCTTTTTTAATTCTTTTCTGTTTTTTTTTGTTTTTTGTGTTAAATATAGAAGAATTGAATAATGAATGCTTAATATAAATGAATTTCATTTTTTTAAATATTTTTTCTATCAAAAAATCAAACTCATTTCATCTATCGTACATTTATTATCTTTGATTGTGAAACCATTTTGGTTGTCGGTTCGTTATTAAAAATGCCACTGTCAGAACAAAACAAAAAAAAAAACGATAGAGCAAAGACAGACTGAGCATATAAAGAAAGCAAAGTAAAAAAAAATTTAGCAAGTAAAATCGTACGAGTGTACGAATTCGGGCAGAATTACAAGCCGATATTAATAAAAAATTTCAGAAACGTACAAATATTTGTGCGTTAATGTTTTGCATATGTAATGCATCTACATATATATAAGAGCACAGAATGGAGACAAATATTTAATATTCCAAATTTAGATAAACTGAACTGGCATCGAAATTTTCTTTCTATGAATTTCCTATTGCCATTTAGGAAGAAACTTACTTGAAGACGAATTAAACTTTCGCTCAGAAGCTATTTAGAGGTGACGTCATGCTAAGGTGTTTCTGTCATTCAATTCATTATCTAACTAAGAATCACCTGCTGGGGAAAATCTATCTAGATTTTCTGGGAGTATCGATAACATTGTAACAAACATTTTTCTGAATAAGGCACCTTAAAAATTTTAGTACGGCTTTTTCACAATTGAAAAATCGCTCAATATAGATAGAAATTTAAAATATGTACAGAGTTTTCTTCGCTCCAATTTGGCCTGGAACATGTTTAAAGTACTTGTTTACAAGCACAAGTACCACCTTGACTTCTGTTTATTTAAAATCGTTTTCAAAATTACTGCATCAAGCTTATATGTGCATATATGTACATATGTATGTATATAATTTGCAATTTTGAAATTTTTGAACTTTTAAACTTGAACGTCCGATTTTTTCGAAGTATTTTTATTTATATTGCAATGGCTATATTCTTTATGATTTATCAATTCAAACTAGCTACGATTTTAGAACAGAAATGCAATAAAAAAGACGGAAATATTTCCGGAAGTATTAAATTTTAAAGTTGCTTTGAAAAATGTGTATGTACGTACAATAAGAATCTAAGAAAAGTTTTTATGCTACACATTTCTATACTACTGTTATAAACTTCCACATTTTAAAAAATTTTTAATTGTATTAGAAAACTTCAAAGA